GCCTAGCAACATCAGACATCTTCTGCCCACTCTCTACTTTGGCTATTATCTCTTGCTTGGTTTCTATGGTGAGCACAGTTCTTGACACTCCACTCTTTTTTATGCTTCATAATATTATCAATTTCTGTTTGAAATAAAAGGTTCAGAAAAGCACTTACAAAAATTTAGAGAAGAGAAATCAACTAGCGCATGAAAGAAATATGTAAATGTGTGGCCCAAATGTAATAGAAATTTAGGTGTTAAAACGTTAACGAATACCCGATAGGACAGTTAAACTGTCACCTTTAGAAAATAAAAACCGATGCAAAACTTATGGAGTGCTCAATAGTCTCGCAAAGACTATAAAAAAAGTATTTTTCAGAATTGTGAACAAAAAGCTGGAATTACAATGGAGAGTTTCAAAGTTTGGGAAAACACTATCAGATCAGTATCGGGTTGAGCATCAATGTTGACATCTCCCGTGCTCCAAAAGGTTTCAAATTTTTACCTGAAGACAAGGGAAAATCAATCAGTATTCATTATTTTTCATTGCTTCATTTTATGTTTGTTTAGTGAAGTGTTCATTATCCGAACATGTGTTCGTTGTCCAATCATAAAAATCTTTCGAGAAAGTGTTTGTTATTCAATTTGGTCTTTAACCGATCAGACACTGTATATGTATACGTGGTCTGTTCAAAAAGTATCGGACCTTTTTTTTTTTTTTGTGTAAACCAATGATGCGCGAGAGGCCTTCTTCGGTGAAGTTGTGGAGGGGACAGTCATGCACAGCCCTGAATTTTTTCCCGCCTGCAGGAAGCATCAGTCGTTGGCAATCGGCCTATGAGTGACTCCTTTAGTGGAGTTGTGGAGGGGACAGTCATGCACAGCCCTGAATTTTTTCCCGCCTGCAGGAAGCATCAGTCGTTGGCAATCGGCCTATGCAGAAAGTGTACACAATGAAGAAGAAGAAGATAATGACATAACAGATTTTTCACAACATAGTGATGAAGACGATAGCTTCAGTGAGTAAACAAGACTTTTGTGTGCTCATTGGAGAGATGGCATGTTTTTTTTTCATACTATTCATCTTGTCATTCACCATGTAAATATTGTAATTAACATTTTATTTAATTTTACTTAATTTCTTTTGTAAAGGTGTTTTTGACCTGTCGAGCTGACAGGACAGTTGCTTTTGCGTGAACACCTCAAATTTTTTTCTGGAATGAATAGGATATGGAAACCTACTGTCGGGACCTTGAATTGTACTTTTGATACTGCTGTATCTGTCTTGTAACTTTTTGTTTTGTTTTAATAAACGCCGATGAGAGGCGCTCTCTGGGTCCCATGCCTTCTTTCAAACTTTCCTATCTTCCTTTCTTTTCACACTTCACATCTCATGCTTTCTCTTCTTTCCTACTTCTACAGGGTTAAGTCCGTCGCTTAAAAGACGGACAGCTCTCTTCTATCCTTTTAAACATGGGCCTATGAGTGATCTCATGTAGAGCGCTCTTGTCGGATTCCACTAAGCTGGAAAATGACTGAACAACGTGAGCAGCGATATTACATCAAATTTTGCCAAAAACCTTGGCGATACCCAAGCGTAAACCATTCGCAAGATTCAGCAGGCTTTCGGGGACGATCCTCGAGGCCAAAAAAGCGTGGCAGGTCCGCAGCAATATCAAAGGTCATGTTGACAGTTTTTTTGATTTTTGTGGGGTGGTGTGTCGTGAGTACGCACCACAAGGCCAAACCATCGCAAAGGAGTACTACCAGGAGGTCCTTCGTCATCTTTCCAATGCTGTGCGACGCAAACAACCTGATCTGTGGTCAATCAAAACTTGGCAGCTCCATCGTGATAACGCATCCGCCCATTCTGCGCATCTGATTCGGGCTTTCGTCGCCAAACATAACACTCCTGTGGTTTGTCACGCTCCGTACTCTCCCGACATGGCTCCGTGTGACTTTTGGCTATTTTCCAAGCTGAAAATGCCACTAAAAGGAACCCGAATTTAGTCGAGAGAAGACATCATGCGGAATCCAACGGACTGGCTGATGACCATTCCAAAAGATGCGTTCCAGCAGTGTTTCCAGCAATGGCAGGAACGCTGGGAGAAGTGTATACATTACCAAGGAGACTACTTTGAAGGAGATTAGGGTTTTGTACCTCAAAGTCAATAAATTTATTTTTGCTGACCAAAGGTTCGATACTTTTTGAACACACCACGTATACAGGTATACCTCGCCTTACGTCAGTAATTGGTTTTAGGAGATGCAACATAAGTCGAATTTACTTGTCTCAGAATCTACTTGTCACTAGGCTAAACCATAAATTACCATTTCCGGTTCTGTATTTTATTTATTAATACATTTTTAATAATATATGGTTAATAAGGATTCATTTTAAGCTTACAAACAAATAAATTTTAGCTTTTAATATAGTACAGACAAAAGTAATCTGAATTTACGAATTCATGTACTGTAAATACAGTACATACTTGTAAATGTATATATTTTAATACGATTTTATTTGCTTTAAATGCTTTTCTAGTGATATTACGACTTCAATATTTGTGGCAGAAAGACATAAAGTCAAATAAAATGACTTAAACTTGATTTGTATTTTTCCATATACTTTTTTGACAAACGACGTATAATCGGGAATGACATAAGTTGAGGTATACCTGTATATATTTAGTCTTTCATGTAAAAATACTATCATCTTGATAGATTTATTATTCATCACATTTTATATTAAATTTAATTCTTAATATTGACTTACAAGAATTATAGTCGCAATAATAAATCTTCTGATGTTTTCTAAATTTTTAGTAAAATACTTGTTTCAAAAAATCAGTATATGATTAAAAGGTAAATAAATATGCTTAATGAAAATAATATCTAAAATAGATTTCCATAATAGTATTTTATAAATTCTTCACAGTAAAGAATTATTGAGATAAAAATAGGGAATAAAATCAGTGTATGAAGTAAAGTGAAACTAAATTAAAAATAAATAGACAGATTCATTCTAATATGCTTTTTGTTCACGTGTTTAGTTTGTAAACAAATGAAGTTTGAGAAAAGCAAGAAAAATGTTATACACTGTATTGTATAAATCAGTAGAGATGGTTAGTAGTTACCTACATGTTTAGTTTTAACTGTTCTAACTACTATGACATTTCCTTTTAATTCACTATATGCTACCTTGGACTAATCTAGTGTTTTAATCAGAGCAAACAACTCTTGATTCAACTTTTGTCAAGTTTGGATAAGATTTTTTTTTTGTTGTTTTTTTAAGCAATTGTACTGTATGAAAGCAATCAGGTCTAGTTACATTTTTGTTACTCATGTTTTCCTTGTTGGTGCAAATTTTAACACACAGATGATGCAGATTGTTTGATTAAAAATTTGAAAAACCTGTATTATTGAGAAAAATAAGCATTAAATAGTATGGATGAAATTAAAGCAGAACTGTTATTTTAATTTAGTCTAATGTGTTGTTTTTCTATTTCTGATTAGTCTAAACTCGGGTAACTAGTAATTTCAACTACTATTTATATATTTAATAAAAAGTAAAATACATCTGGATACGAGTCCAAATTTGCTTGCCATGTCCAATCACCAGGAACAACTATTTCCATTGCAGAGACAACCTTTCTTTAGAGGCTATGCTTCTGCACAAATATGTAAAACAGTTCTACCTTTAACCTTTTCTACAAAGAAATATTATATTTTTAATTGTGTTGGGATTGTCACCTGTGGACATTTTAAACTGTTTTACATATTTGTGCAGAGGCATAGCCTCTAAAGAAAGGTTGTCTCTGCAATGGAAATAGTTGTTCCTGGTGATTGGACATGGCAAGCAAAATTGGACTCGTATCCAGATGTATTTTACCTTTTATTAAATAGTAATTCTGCCAGCCCTTTTCTACAAAGTACTATTTATATAGTTCATAACATCATTAAATATCAGAAGTGCCATATTTTATTCATATTTGTCTTTTGCTTTCCAAGTATGTACATAAAAAAGTTTTTTGGACATTATATTTTATCTAATATATGTATGATGATATTTTTCTATAATTTTTTATAAAGTTTTTTCTATTTTTTAATCATTTATGACTAATACTTAAATATCTTTGTAGTCAGAATATATTGTGTAGTAGACCATAATTTGGACAATACTGGTATAGACAATAACATATTAAAAAAATTTTTTTGAATGCACAAAAGATAGTTTATAAAGAAACTACAGGAAGAAAAAGAAACATTATCAGGAGAAACAACAGTAAATTAGCTTAGTTCACTGTTGTTTGTCATTATGATATGCCTGGTTGCCCAAACATACTTCAGAAAATGATACTTGAAATGCAAAAAAATATAATACATTATATAATATATGAAGAAATAACTTCACTCAAGTGAGACTGGAAAGTAATATCTTACTACTAAAAACCTCAATCCACTTAGAGCCTTTTTTCCAATACTGTTTAATAAAACAATGTTTAAAGATGAATGTCTTTAATCTAGGCAAGATCTTCCTCAGGTCAATGTAAAATGGAATGCATTTTGGAATATATTTATGTAACATATTTTTTATGTTGTTTATTATTTTTATTGTTTTTAAATGGCTATTTTCTCATTGTTAATATGGGACAGGACTTATTTTTCCTATTGACGTTACCTTGTGTCTTTTGTATAAAGAATAAAGAAAAGAATTGCAAGTTATTTAGCTCAGCTCCAATAAAGCAGATTTTTAATTTTGTGAATTTTACAGATTGAAGTTTTGTTTGTTATTTATTTACAAAAAATGAAGGAATTTAAAAACAATGACTAATGTAAGCAAGAATCTTTACTCTTATCAAATTAATTTTTTTTATATATTATTTTGTAAGTTTATCCATTCCCCTAATTTAGCTATCAGAACAATATCATTTGCAGTAATCTTTTGTATTAAATTGAAGATTTACTACAATAGTTAACATTATGTATTAATTGACCGTTATATTTTATTTTATTAGACAAACCTGACTATTCAAGAAGGTAAATTAGAACAAGCTAACAATGAATTACAAAAAGCAGAAGAAGAATTAGAACAAAAGCAGCGTGAATTAAATGAAGCAAAAGCAGAATATAATAATGCTCTTAGAAAACAACAAGTATGTTAAAAATTTTTTGAACTGTATTTTTGTATGAGATAAAAATGCTACATAACAGAAAAAATATGTTTATTTAGGATTTGATGGATGAAGCAGACAGATGTAAAACCAAAATGAATTCTGCTGTTACATTAATTGCTGGACTTACAGGTGAAAGAGAAAGATGGACTGAAGAAAGTAAAGAGTTTAAGTCTCAAATTAATAGGTATACTTTAAAACTGTTGTGTACATTAAAATAAATTTATTGTAAAATAGGAATTTTGTTTTATCTTTTTAGGTAAAACAGATATTTTGTGATATGTATACATTCCCATATTTTTGGTTAAAATTATTTTAGGTATAGTGTTTTAAAAATTAGAAATTTAGAGATAGTTACATAAAGACAAAATATTGATTTTTAGATAAGATTTAATGTTGTTATAATTAAAGATTCATTATGAGATATGAAATTAAAATTGTTGACAAGTAAGAAGTGGAATTTTAGTAGCTTTTAACAGGAGTAAATTTACGAACAAGTTTTAATTTATAAAATTATTTGTTGCTACATCATCATTGAAAATCTTAAAATCATTTAACTTGATATTGATTTCTATAAGTTAAGGCTGAGAAATAAATCAGTTGATGTCACTTTCAGTATGAATGAACTTATCTAACTAGTACATTCTGGAGAGTCTGGTAAAAGATTAAAATGAAATTTGGAGAGTGTTTTTCAGACTAATGTAAAAATAAGTTTCTGGAAAAGAAAGGGCCAATTTTGAGCAGAATTTAACAGAACAGAAAAACTGATCTTTTTACAAAGTTATAAAGAAAATTTCACAAAGTAAACTTGTCTCTTTCAGCAATTCTTAGTGTGATAATTAAAGAAAAAGATATATGAGAGAGAATAATATGATGATTTTTACTAATACAGGCAGAATATCATTTCAAGTGATGTTTTTCCAGTAGAATACACAATACAATGTTTTAGTTAATGTTCATAAAGAAAAAATTTATATGTCCTTGAAGTATTATGATGGCAAGCCTCTGCTTATTCTTTTTAACAATAACAACATATTTATTTCCTATGTTTCTTATGCAAATAATGTATTTTATTAATAAAAATGTTATATATTAAATAACGATATAATAAGATGTGATAAAGCTCATCATCTCCTTTTGATAGGATATTCAATATGCATACTAATTAATACTATTATGGTAGCTTGTAAAATGGTCTGTTCAGCTTGACTGTTATTGGAGTGGAAGAAAATACAGTACAATCTTGGTTAATAGAGGTTCTGCATTATTCAAGATGAATTGCAGATAATTATTTTGTCGAGGAAGAAAATGTCATACAGTACAGTTTGTTTCATAAATTTTGGCCAGAAGAAGCACAGTATTTGAAAGTTGCTCTAGTTTTTGAAAGAATTCATTCAGACAGTGTAAATTAAATAAAAATAAATTTTGACTGTAATTATGGAACTTGATTTTATGATATCCTATATTTTGTCAATTGCTTTTACTGAACATTTCAGGTTATTCAAGTTTTCAATTATCCAAGGTTCACATTACTTCATATAAGATGGACTATAATGTAGTCAAAAGTACATGGTAGGATTTTCAGTTACTAACTGTATAACATGTTTCTTGTTGTCTTTTTAGTTTCAGAAGATGAGAGTTTCTCTGAATATGTAGTTGCTTTAAATGTTTCTGGAGCCAAAACTTATGTAGTGTTAAATCAGGAGAATGGAATTTGTCTCTTTTATATTGTTGAAAAATGATCAATTGATAATCTTTTTACAATAAAATGTTGTCATTGAAGTTTGCTAATAAGTGTGAGACCCCAGAAATAGCCTCCCCCAGAAAAAAAAGAAAGATATGTAAAAATTTGTTAAGTTAAATTGTCAACAAAGCAAATTATATGTGTCGAATTGGTGACACCGGACTTTGACGTCGATGCTCATAGAGAATAACAGGAAAAACAAAATTTTAGATAGAGAAAATAAAAGAAGAAAATTTAAAATATTAAAGTTAAAACACAGTTTAGAAAGCAAAATGAAACTAAAAAAAATATCAAAATGAGCGTAGGTGTCATAGTCAACAATTAAACGTGATTAGAATCTAAAAGATGGTGTCGGATAAACCATCTCCAGCCAACCTTTTCTGCAAACTTTACGAAGCTCCATTTACACCTGGAGACAGGTGGAAGACCAATTAGAAAGTGATGATGTAAAGTCTGTCCAATTAGCAACAAGTCGATCTTGAAAAACTTATAAAAACACCGATTCCAAGGACAACAGGACTTCCACTAAAGTCTCCTGTCCAGTACTCTTCTTGTGTTTGTTGTCTTCTTCTCTTGGTGCTTCCGCTCGCCGCTATCTTGTGACTGTTCAACTTCGAACTTTAACATGACATTGCCCCAGGGTTCCTCTTCAGCTTGAAGGAAAGAAAAACATCAGTCATCCAATCGATAGGACTGAAGATATCTTAGAGTTTTGAATCGAAGGACCTTTTTCTAAAAATATGTAAGCAGTTTCGACCAGAATAAACGGTTTCTCTGTGAAACACTTGTTTTTTCTGCCTCTTAAAACTGCCACTCACATATGCTTAGACCTTAGATCATTCTGATGGTAGGAAATAAAATCTTCTCCCAATCGGCATCCTTAGAAACATTTAATTGAAGTAACTATTAATGAACTAAAGAAACTACATCTCTCAGGATTAAAATTCATTACTATTGTCCTACCTACTAGATATCATTACTGTTATAAATCTAATAATACATTTGCATTTGCAGAATGTCTACAAATACAAATGATGATAACATATTTCTTTGATGATGATAAATTGAGACTAATTAATTTCCATAAAATTATTTTAAACATATTTTAGAGAATATATTCTAGAAATTTTGCAGCAATCCATTTAGTAGTTTTTATTTCAGACAGTACTAAATAAAAAAATTTGAATTACAGACATTTAATACTTTTAATTGATAAGATTTTCTATCTAATGGAGTTTTATTAAATATTAATATCTAAAATGTCTTTAGTTATTGACACAATTGAAGTGTAAAAGTGGTTTGTTATAGATAAAATAAAATTTTGATTTTTGTTAATTAAATGGAATGGTAATGTGATGCTATGATGTAACTATTTTTAATAATAGTGAAAGATTGATATTACTTTATTATTATTATGTTGGGTTTAGTGGGTAATACTCAGTTCACACCGGTGGCTGTGTACTATGCCGGACCAGAGTCAAGGCATAGCAACCAAAACAAATTAAATAAGTGTGTCAGTGTCAGTGTCTGTATTCAGGAATTTCCTAACAATATGACATGTATTCAATATAGTGGCCTTCTGTAGTGTTATGTATGTATTACTATTCAATTGTAATGTTCCCAGGCTTTTGTGTAGTGTGTGTGGTATCACACCTGTACAGGAGAGAACAACAGGTACAATAAGCACCCTATCCATCCTCCACAGATGCCTTATTTCCTGGGCGAGTTCTGTGTACTTGCTAATTTTTTCAGTGCATGTGTTTTGTACATTGTGAGTGTTTGGAATGGCTATGTCTATAATGTATGTGATTTTATTGTGTTTGTCAATGAGTGTGATGTCTGGTCTGTTGTGGTAAATTGTTTTATCTGTGATTATGGCTCTGTCGTAGTACATTTTGTGCGTGTTGTTTTCCAATACTGTTTGTGGTATATACTTGTAGTATGGTTTGTGAATGTCTACCAGTTTGTGTTTCTTTGCAAGCTCTTGGTGTATTATATTTGCTACTTGATTATGTCTGTGTAAATAATCTGTCTGTGCCAAGAGCTTACACCCAGATGTAATGTGTTGTATAGTTTCTGGCAGGATGTGACATTTTCTGCATGTGTCATTTGTGAGTGTTGTATCTTTGAGTATGTGTTTTCTGTAGTTTTTAGTGTTTATGACCTGATCCTGTATGGCAATCATGAATCCTTCCGTCTCCCCAAAGAGGCATCCCCGATCTAACTAGCTGTTTGATGCAGTTTTGTCAACAAAATCCTGGGCCAGGTCATAAGGATGCCTGCCATGGAGTGCCTTTCGAGCCCACGATTGCTTGATGGTGTCTATGCTTTTTATGTGTTGTGTCATGTCTGTATGATGTGAGTGTAAGTTTAATGGTGTGTTATTTGAGTCTGCTAGAGTTACTGCTTTATGTAACTGTGATGTTTCTTGTTTCTTGTAGAAAAACTCTCGCAGTGACTGTATTTGTTTGTAGTGAAGGTTAACTATGTCAATCAGGCCACGTCTGCCTTCTTTACGTTGAAGGGTTAATCTTTCTGTGGCGGATTAAGGATGATGTTGTTCATGCTTAGTAAGTGTTGTTCTTGTTTTCTTTTGGAGTTGCTCGAGATCTGTGTGAGTCCAATGTATAACTCCAAAAGAGTATGTGAGTACTGGGATGACATATGTGTTTATTGCTTTAACTGTGTGTTTTGCATTTAACTGTGTTCTAAGAATGGCATTTAACCTACTTTGGTATTCTTTAATTAATCTTTGCTTTATTTGTGTATGTTCTGTTAGTTTGGCCTGTTGGAATCCTAAATACTTGTAGAACTCGCCCTCTTCCATGGATTCAATAACGTCTCCATTTCCAAGTGCAAAATCTTCTTTCTTCAGGATTCCTTTTTCTATGTGAAGTTTTTTGCATTTGTCTAAGCCAAACTCCATTTGTATGTCCTTAGTGTATGAATGTGTGATTTGTAGGAGTTGATGAAGTTGTTTTTGTGTGGATGCATAAAGTTTTATGTCGTCCATGTACATGAGATGTGACAGTGTAAACTGTGTTGTTTTTTCATGTCTGATATTGTAGCCATAATGCGTGTTGTTTAACATGTTGGATAATGGATTCAGGGCTAGGCAGAACCAGAGAGGACTCAAGGAATCTCCTTGAAAAATTCCTCGCCTAATGAATATTTCGTTTGTTTGTATGGAAGTGTTACTAACCCTGAGATGTAGTGTTGTTCTCCAGTGCTGCATAGTGTTTTCGAAGAATGCAATGAGTGATGGATGTATTTTGTACATGTGTAGAATATGTAGCAGCCAACTGTGTGGAACACTGTCGAATGCTTTTCTGTAGTCTATATATGCCATGTGTATGTTTCTGTGTTGTTTGTGTGCTTGCCGTAGAATGACTGAATCTATGAGTAACTGTTCTTTGCATCCCCTGTGATTTCTACGGCAACCTTTTTGTTGTTCTGTAAGAATGTCGTGTTCTTCAACATGTTTGTATATTTTGTTTGTGATACAGGATGTCAATAATTTGTAGAGTGTTGGAAGACATGTAATTGGTCTGTATTGTGTGGGGTCTGTGGTTTTGTTGTTTTTAGGTTTCATGTAGGTGATGCCCTGAGTAAGAAATTTTGGCATGTCTTGTGGATTGATGATGATGTGTGTTAGATGTTTAGCTAGTTCCTGGTGCAGTGATGTAAACTTTTTGTACCAGAAATTGTGAATGTTGTCTACACCAGGTGTCTTCCAGTTGTGTGTTCTGTTAACAGCGTAGCGAATGTCGTGTATGTTTATTTCAGCACAGGGCATAGTTGGTATGTTGTGCAAGTTTCTGTTCTCCTCCTCGATCCAGCCTGCATCAGCATTGTGTGTAACAGCATTGGACCAAAGAGAAGACCAATAAGTTGTGAGTTCTTCTTCTGTTGGTGTGCCACTGTGCTGTGTATCAGTGTTTGTTTTGGTACTGATTTGTCTGTAGAAAAGTTTTTCATTGTTTGTGAATAATTTATTTTGTTGTTTTCGTAGTGTACATGTTTTGTATCGTTTGAGTCTACGTGCTTTGGCTGCGAGTTTTTGTTTTAGTGTATCGATGTATTCTGTAATGTGTGTGTTGTGATGTTCATGTTTTGTGTGTGTTTTAATTTTCTTGAAAATGTTTTTGAGTTGTTTCTTTAATTTGGGTGTTATGTTGTTTTTAGTGTATTGTGTCAGCCTGCCTAATTGCTGTCTAATGTCATTTATTTGTGTTTCTATTCTTCTCTGCCAGGCAGGCTTGTGATAGAATTGTGTTTTGTGTGTGTCTGTCTGTGAGTGTATTTTCAGTCCATGGTGTGTCACTACTGTGACTGCCCCAGCATAAATAATGTATGAATGCCTGAGAGTGTAGAAATTAAATAGATGTTGTATGGTAGTAAGTGAGTGTTTACATAATTTAATGTTTTCCTACTACCTTTGACGTGTTCATTTTTGGTATTCGTGGTCTTTGTGTGGGATCTGTACCAATATATTTAATGAGTGTTTCCTGAAATATAAGTGAGAGTGTATTAACTAATTCTATGTCTACGTTATCAGTGATGGATGAGGAAGTGCCTGCAGTATCATTAGTGGTACTTGTTGTGTGTGTGCTGTAATCAGTGCTTGTTGCTTGATTATCCTGACAGGTTATGTGATCTTCATTAATGTTAAATGTTTCTGTCTGTTGATGTATTTGATCAGCAACCTGTTGTTTGATAAGTTCAAGTGTTGTTTGTGGGATAAGGTTGTTGTGTATAATTGTTCGTTTTTGATCAACAACTATTTGTTTGGTGACAGTGAGGTGAGGATATTGTTGTGTGAATATGTGGTGTAGTTGTTGTCTGTATGCTGTCATGTTTGTTTCGAGTCTTGTGATGGTGTAGTAAGTACGGATGATAAACTCGTTCATTTCTGTTGTCCATTTCATCCGTTTGCGTGGTTTTCCAGCCTTTGTGGTCTGTGGATGCATTGCCATAGAAACACCAAGGCTAGGTTGATTGCTCACATCTGTTGATGGCATTGCAGTAGTCATGCTTGGGCCGGCGCTGCTTTTGCCACCGGTAACCAAGGGAGACTGGAGCCTATGTTTCGAACGTGAGCCTCTGCCTAACCCACGAACGCGGACCTTGTTAACCCGGGCGACGTTTGAGCCGGTATCATACTTAGATCTGGTTACTACCATAATGATTATCTCCACAGAATGTGGGTGTGTGGTCACTCTTAGCTTCATTTTTCCCCATAGACCTTACTGGCATGGGTGTCCCTACCAGGAGCTTGTGCTCTAGCCTGCATTGCCGTATGGATCTGTAAATTACTGGGCTCTCCCACCATGACCAGGTGGTGACCATGGGATAGTTATTATTATTATTATTATTGTTATGTTTAAGAATAAAATTTCATTTATGAGTTGTTTAATTGATATTAATTAGAAATTTTTTTTTTAGACTAGTAGGAGATGCTCTTCTTTGCACTGGTTTTCTCTCTTATATGGGACCATTCAATCAAGAATTTAGAATCCTTCTAATGAAGTACCTTCAAAAATCTCTTGAGAAAAAGAAAATCCCATTTACTCTAAATTTGAAACTTGTCAACATTATGATAGATCCTGTGACGGTCTGTTATTTTATATTTTAACATGATTTTGGTTAAATAAAAAATATATATTATATTATATAGCAAAGTAAATTTGAAAAATTAGAGAGAATAAATTAGAATAAAATATTAGAAAATTGTGATATATATGTATCTTATATTTTTCCTTCTAATAGTCATAAATATTATAATAAAATTTAAAATATACATGTAAAGAAGTCTGAACTCTAACTCATATAAAAGTTTACTTGGATTGGAGCAGGATCAGTAGCTATGATCAGGATTCTAGTTTCAAAGCATTACATACTGTATTTGTATGTATGTATGTATGTTTGTATGTATTTATATTAGTGATGTAATGAATATTTGGTTACTATTCGGTATTCGGCCTATTTTTCCTATTTGGCCGAATACTGAATACCTAAAAACAGGAGTAAGAAATAACAAAAACACAGTAAATTAATCATTTTGGTATTTAGATTTAATGTTGTCGGGTTAGTGTTGTTTGTTTATATTTATTTATAACTTATAACATGCACAAAATAAAAAAAATTAATAATATTAGCTATGGCTGTTTTTTTTTAGGGGGCAGCAAAATTTCACAATAAATAATAATAATATCTTGTAAAAACTTGAATCATTACATCATATATTTTCATCGCATTTACGATTCGGACTGATTGAAATGAGCATGAAAAGTGTCATCTGGACAGTCCGGGATTTCGTGTACAATCTGTTGCCCTTTTTTTTTTTATTTTTGCTTGTACGAATCATTCATATTGATATACACCTCCAATGTCCAATACAGCTAAGTCATCTAGGTTACTTACATTACTCCTACAATTCTTCCTAATCGCTAACTGAACTGGCATGCACTGCACATTATTCTTTGCATTGCAAAATGACATACGCATGCGTCAGGAACTTCTGTTCAAACAAACCTCACCTGCCGTCCGGGTCAGCGATTTTAAAAAGGTGGCAACACTAGCTCGGAATTTTTCATTACTTATTCTGTGACAAACTGAATTTTAGTTTTTTAAATTCAGATATTTGAATAAGGGGGCGGCGAAATTTTCCTTTGCCCTGGGCAGCTGACACCTACGCTACGCCACTGAATATTAGTCACATGTATTCACAATTTATAATTACAAAGATCAGCACACGTACACACCGATTTGTTCGAGAATCATTGCACACATGTGAGGGTCTGACCCTGCCTATCCTTTTAAGCACTTGTCTTTGCTCTTTCCTTTCTCTTTTCTCCATCTCTCTAGTCCACGTATGCCTATGCATACATCATAATACGCACTCACAATACTTTCGATTCATCACTTTTCCATCATAGTTTTTCCATTTTATAATTACGTGACTCATAGCCTGGTGATAACAGAGAAAAGAGACAGATAGGACATCAGTGTATGTCACAGTTATGATTTCACAGATTCGAGACAGCTTGTGGTCCCAAGTGGTCCCAGGCTTTCACCCGTGCATGCAAAGTGACTTTCATTACAAGCATTTAGCTTTCCGAAGTCTATACAACAATTGTTTGGCATTGACGGCTGCAAATTTCACGCCAATAAGCTGCTTTGACTTGTTCGATTATGTTATCAACTCAATTTCATATTTATTTTCACATTTTCATTTTGCGGTCCTTCTCTGTTCTTTTTCCGTTATTTACACGTGTAGGTCATTTCATTGTAATTCACATTTGATATTATTATTTATTGCATATTGTTATGACGCTCTTGTCTGTCTGCTACAACTGTCAAGAATTAACATGATTGGCGAAGTGTAGTGACAGCGGGCCAATAGAGAGTAGGGTTCTTGCCATAATGAGGTTTGCGCGCCAATTTTCATACGTGCGTTAATCAAGCCAAGTAGTTTGGCCAAATATTTGTCTATTCGGCCACACTCCTGGCCGAATATTTGGTATTTGGCCTGAAGTAGAATATACTATTCGTTGCAACACTAATTTATATATATTAAGAAGTTTTTTACTTTCTCTGTATGTAAAGGAATGTTTCTCTTTATGAACAAAGTTTGTTGCTGCATGCACCACTGGCCATAATATTGTGTTTTTTAATTGATTTAATTAAAACTTAAATGTATGATTCTTGGGAAGTTGACAATTGATCCAACATTGATGAAAGTTGTTTATATGCTAAAATTTAATTTCATTATTATGTTCAACACATATAATTTAAGTAAGCTATTGCAAGGTTATTATAACCTGATTATGCTTTGTATTCATAACAAAAAGAAATTTAATAAAACTATTATTAAATAAACTTGTTAGATTTTCAAATTAGTTCTCTTTCTGTTTTTTATATGAGATATTTGTCTAATTTCATGAATTTATTTTAAAAGAACATATTTTTTTTTAAGAAAACATTCAGTTTTAAAGAATTTACAAGTAGAGAACATTTAAAGTTAATCTTAAACTATAATCAGTAATTAAAATAGATAGATAGATTATAAAAAAATTGCAATTTTTTGTTTATGCACTTTAAAGAAACATTTAAATTAACAAATACTTTTTATTTATTATATAGATTTCGGAATGGAATTTACAAGGCTTACCTAATGATGAATTATCGATTCAGAATGGAATAATCGTAACAAAATCACCTAGATATCCACTTTTGATTGATCCTCAAGGTCAAGGAAGACTGTGGATTAAAAATAGAGAAACGAATAATGATCTTAAGGTAAATAGTTTTTAAAATATGACTCATTTAAATTAGGCATATTTTTAAAAACTAGATTTTATCAGACTTCAGTTAACAATTAAATTATGTTAAAATAATTAATTAATTAAATTACTATATTAATATTGCAATAAACTTTCTTAATTTATTATCCTTTTTGGAAAATATAATATAATTAGTATGACTGTTTTTTGAATTTGCTCTATGTTTGGTTGTTGTCTGTTAGTTTTATTAACGGCCATCAACATTTGTTATAATACTAGACTTAATATATACAGCATAGGACATATAGCCTGATCAGGAAATCATCAATGTTTGTTGGTTTATATTAACTGGTAACTAATATTCAGTATGAATCTCATCTTACAAAATATTTGTATATCTAAATTAGTATTACTAAAATCATCTCAGTTTTCATCTCATTCATCAGTTAAAAAACACACTCATTAAAGATACAGTAGAGCATCGTTTATTTGAAAGCCAGTTATCCGAAACATCGGTTAATCAAAAGCATTCCAGTCGGCAAATTTAAATTTTCACTAGTGCTGTGACGCTGCAATCTTTGGCTATATCTTGGGCTACTCCAATATTTTTTTTGTTGGTGTGTGTGTTTTAGCTGGCAGCACTGGCACTTTTGTGTGGTGTTTTTCTGAGGACTGTGTGCCGTGCTGAATCAAACATTTTTGATACTAGATTAACTTCTAAAGTATAATTGTTTTTATATTTTTATTTTGTTTGTAAAAAATAAAGAAATAATTTTTAATGATACAGTAGCCACAATTATTATTTTAAAAAGTTTACGTTAGGCTTAACATCGATGAAAATTCAACGTGAAGCGACACGCAACGGAGAAAAATTTCAATACGGGATAGGTTAATATATTTTTTCGTACATAATCGTTTATCTAAAAAATAAGTTATCCGAACAAACCCAGTCCCCAATTGATTCGGATAAATGACGCTCTACTGTATTCCTAAAATGTAAATTTAATTCAGATTGCTTTTCTGAAATAAATTTTAAATTTCTGAAAAGTTTTATGTAAGAAAAACAATTTGAATTGGATAAACTAAAGTTTTTCACTATTCAAAAAATTAACATATCTTTTTAATTATTTATTTTAAACCAAAGGAACTTGGGGGTTTGGAGGAGATTGTCTTTATTATGGAGTAACATATGTGTAGGAATTCTTTTTGTCTTCTCCTACTTAAGTTTAATTAACTTCACTTGTACTACTTAGTCTGATACAATACTAATGTTTAATCATGACACCAGACATTACAAATGGTGACATATAACACTAAACATTAAACTTGAATTGTTTCAGAAACTATTTGTATAAAAAAAAAAAGGGAGAAAAAGTCCCATTTGGACTTGTCTTCTACCATTTTTGCGCCGTTTTTTTAACTGTTGTTTTGCTTCTCTTGTGAAGTTGCGTCTTGTCTCACTCTTATCTTGCTTTTAGATAGTGTTCTGTTCTCCACATATGTTTCTCTCAGGGTGGCAGCAAGTAACTGTGCGAGATTTAGTGCAAATCAGTCAAAGAGTGGCAATTTGTGGGGATGAAATCAGAGGAATGAGTGAGGATCTAAGTTTTAAAGCAGTGTATATTTTTTGGAGAATTGAAAGAGTAACTATGCAAAATTTGTCCAGATCATTCAAAAGGTTTGGGAATTTTGGAGTAGAGGGATGAAATCAGAAAGAGAAAGAGTGAACAGTTTGAATTTTATGGTAGTTCATGTTTCCCAAAAGCTTCCAGACCATAGCTATGTGGAATTTGGTCCATATTAGTAAAGGGTTTGGGAGTTTGTAGGGAAGATGAAATCAGAAGGAAGGACTGAGGGATCTGAGTTTTAAGATGGCTTACATACTGTACATTGGAAAGTAATAAGCTTTCCAATGGTCTTTTGACACAGATGTATTTTCTGATAATTGCAACTTTGTTTTAGGCATTTTATCATTGACTAGCTTACCCGTCGCGCATTACTGTGATCTTAGAAGAAAGGAAATTCAAGCAAACTCATTATGATAAAATTAAATTTACATTTTATTAATTTTATTGAAAATTATTATTATTATTATATTATTAATATTATTCATTTTCATCGGGAAAACATTTCAAAGTGTCATTTCAATTCTATTTATTTATTGGAATGCTTGTGGATACACAATATTTTTTGTTTTTTTGTCTGGTGCATACACGAATAAATCAGAAGGTGTTCCGACGCATGAGCTGGCCACATACAGTTGTACATGCGAGAAGCACGGATTCTTTAATTTTAGCACACACACTTGCAGAGATTGTTAGAAGTGCAATATTCCCCATTTTTATATATTTTTTAAAATCCTTTATAATTTTGATTATTTAATTGCTTCTTCCTCTCTTCCTTGGCATGTTGTGAAATTTCTGATAGTTGGATAATAAATCGTTTTATTGTAATTTGCCTTTTTAAATTATTTTGAGTTGATATTAAAATTTGGGGAAGGGGGATCCCTAGATAGGTAAAATAGGCGAATTTCCTCCTACAACTTCGGTTGTTGTTCAGGATACAGTTAAGGTTTTAACAAAGTTCGAGCGAATACATAATTAGCAAAAAAAAAAGTTGAAATAAAGTGATTAAACAAAGTTATTTACAATTATTACAAATATTGTAAATAACAAATGCATATATAGAGATATTTTTTGGAGGGGGAAATGGTCTTCACAATTTGAAATCGATTGAACGCACAGAACACACAGTGCTCATATACACACGCTTCATCTATCGTATGATAAATGAACTTTGCTGGAGTGTATTAAAAAAGTTTCCAAAGTTTCATGGCAATCGTACTGTGCCAGAAACCTTCGCGGGAATATATTAAACAACTTCCCAAAGTTTCATGGCAATCGGATAAACAGTGTGGTAATGCATGAAAGACAGACAAACACACACATACACACACACACACAAAAGTTCATATTACATACATTCATTTTTATATATATAGATAAGGCTCACTCACACATGTGTCAAAGGGGATTGACCTTGAATGAAGCAGACAAACAATGATGAAGCAGTAAAAATATGACAAATGCAGCAAGAAATATTGTCGTCATGCATTTTCATTTTTTTTTTAATATGAAAATAATATATAGCCTATGTTCATTTGGAAGGAATAATCTTTCCAATAGGTGGAGTGATAGAGGAAAGACAACATATAAGCCTTTAATGGTGTGCAGAGAGTAGCATACTGGGCAATAGTTTGAAGCTCTTTATTCCTGTCTTGTATGTGAGATGAATGAGTGAAGGCCCTATAAATAAGAGTACCAAAGCCAGCCATCTTGAAGATAAAGGGATTATGGAAAGGGGCAAGGATGAAGATCGGATGGTGTGTAGGTTTTTTATAAACCAGTGATTCTCAACCAGGGTCCATGTAACATTACTAGGGTTCCACAGAAAAAATACTGAATGGGGGTTCATGGTGATATTTTAATGGTCTATAGCAGGGATGGCCAACACGTAGATTGTGGTCAACCAGTTGACTGCAAAGGTTTTGAAAGTTGCCTGCGAAGCTAAAGTTGAGCAATTTGCTTTCAATTAAATTAATGTTTAAAATAAATTATCTATTATATTAAGAATATTATCGAATTAAGATCTAAAAATCTTAATTCGATAATTTATTCTTAAGATAATAGACTGTCTGTGCAATGTACCCATACTGTTTGTATTTATATTGATGAACAATGCAAATGAATGTTAACACATGTGCATATAAAATCCTAAAATTGTTTGCCCATATTCATAGTCGCCCGCAGATTATATTTTACCAAAAAAGTAGCCCCTAAGGGATAAAAGTTTGGCCACACCTGGTCTATAGGGTAATTCTACTTCAGAACATTTGTTTTACAGAGAATTAAATTTCTACAGTATATTGTCGATTTCTTTATTACTCATTTCTTGCATAAGGGTTAAAATATAAATTATTGAAAATATTGAATACGTATATGACATATATTTCATTGACAAAGGTCAAAGAGAGATTATAAAGCCTGGGTTTGTTACGAGAATCTTATACCATCAAAATATAAGGGTTTTTTCTGTGCAATGTCTACGGGAGTCCACAAAAAGAAAATTAAGAGGAAAAGCGGTCTACAGGTAAAAAAAGGTGGAGAACCACTGCTATAGACTTTAGTTGTGATGTCTTTTGATATGCACCTCCAACTAGGCATCTACACTATATTCATTACTGATCACAGAACTAACCACAACTTAGAATATGTAGGTGCTACAACACACCTTTTAAACACCTGCCTCAAAGAGCATTGGAATTTTATCCTGAAAGGATTGGCCAACACTGCATTAGTTATCTTTGTCTCCAACTCAATATAGATGTGCATTTCAACCATGCATGTCAGACATTTAGAACAGGTTGAAATTTACAAGGCCACCTGCAAAAATACTGCCTTTAACTTTCATAATATAGATTCCTTCCCACCTGTGTGGAAGTCTTTCTACAAAATGTAAACCTACTATCCTCTCCCCACCTTTTTTTTCTCTTTCTTACATTACCTCCCTTTTTCATGTGAAGTTGCCAACGAAGGTGGAAATGTCAAGAGGGTTGAGATGTCACAAAAGTTCATATTAGTACTGTTGAGACAGACTCTACAGTTACAAGAAACTGTTTATTTGACACAAAAGGAGCTTACAAGATTTCTGTGATCTTGGAAGTTCTGAGTTGGTGGCAGCCTCTGGGTCTTCCTTTCCTTTTGAAGATAGTACCAAAAGAAGTGTCTCTGATTTGCAAATGAGAGTTCACTGTGTGAAAAATGTAGTTGTGTATGATAGCTACAAAGGTGATAATATACTAAGATTAAGACAGTACATAATTAAACAACAATTGATTTAATAAAAAATGATAACACAATGCACAAAAGAAAAAGAATTTGGATGCCAACTCTAGGGCGTTTGCTCAACTCTGCCCAAGAAAACAAAAAAGAAACCTGAAATGAGGACTGGCATGACAAAACAAAAAGGTTCTCATGTCTTACGATTTTATTAAATGGGCACAACTATATTCTACAAAAGTTTCTTACAACTAACTTAAAACTAACTTATAACTGTAGAGATGAAATGGAAATTCAAATAGACAAAGGAAAAGGGTACCTGTACTCAGTTGATTCTTTTTTTACAGAGATGATTGCTTTCAATGATTTTCAGTGAAATTTACTTATTTGTCCTTTTGGGGAGATTAACATATCCTTTTATGGGGATCAAAGGAGACTGTCTTTATCAATGATTAACTGAAGCCTCAGGATTCTTGTTGCATGAAGCCTTCAAGGAATTCTTAAGTCCCTTGCTATGGTCAGGATCGAACTCTTCTCTCCAATGTCTCCTCCAGTCTCAACTCTTCTTCCCAGTCTGAAAACTGTTATCTCTTCCCTTTGGGTTTTTAGGCATTTTCTCTCTCCACAGGACAGTTCAGAACATTAGTCTGAAGTGGAAATAAAGACAAGAGAAGATTCCAGAAAAGGGAAAAAACAAAAAGCAAAGAACATCTCCACCAAAGATATTTTTCTGCATAATCACCACATCTAATACATATATGACTCATCTGAAGAAATCATTTTTATCCAGTCTTCTATGGTTTGATTTTTGTGCTGTCTTTAAAATTTTAAACAATTTTTTTTCTTTGTCAGATTTTGTTTTGCTTTGCGATTGAAAATCCCTTGTCAGTGTTTTGCTCACTGATCTGTCACAAACATTTGTTTTATTTCACTTTCATTCTGAATTTAATTGTTTAGAAGACATTTTTTTTGATTTATAAGCATATTTTTTTCAATGGATGATCTTGAATATTGCTAAATTTTAGGACTACTACTTTTGTCACTATTTTTTTATGTCTGCTGTGTCTTTAAACTTTTTCCAAGTGAAATTTATAATTCCTAACGACACACCAACATACATTGCAACTTCTCTTTGGCTTTTTCCATTTTGTAGTAGCCTTATAATTTGTTTTTCCACGTCATTAATAAATCTTTTGATTGGTAAAATGTCTTGTTTACTTAGAAAATGATGCAAACACACCTCTTAAAACTAATAGTTACTTCAATTCAAATTATAATGCTCAAATCTGTAAATTTAGAACTATGTTCAAAACATTTTTCAATACTTTTTTATAAAAAAATATTTTTGGGGGAAAATGATTTGGTATATATTTCTAACATGAAGTGTTACAAAATATATTTCTAACACTTAATAATCCAATGAGTAAAATGTATATTTTTGTTTTGAATGTTACATTTTTCTTTTCTTGGGAAATGAGCTCAAACTAAACATTTTTTTTTCTTACATCATGTTCAAATAATTTTTACCAGGGGTTGTAATTTAATTAATTAAAATGTGAAATATACTGTTATTAAATTGCATTATGATTTTAATACTAACTTTAATTTATTTAAGTTATAAAAATTTCTTAATTAATTTTTTAACATTTATAAATGTTTTTATTAAATATTTAAAAGTGTCTTAATCTTTAAATAAATCATATAGTCAATAGTAAATTTTAATTCAAACTTAATTTAAAACTTTGTTAATTTTATGTAATAATAAAGTTTATTTTGTTATTTAAGGTGACCACACTAAATCATAAGTTATTTAGAAATATTTTAGAAGACTCATTAGCTCTCGGATTGCCTCTGCTTATTGAAAATATTCGAGAAGAACTAGATCCAATTTTAGATAATGTCTTAGACAAAAACTTTTTAAAAGTTGGTAAAAATCTCAAGGTAATAACTAAACATACTTGAAACTTATTATAATTTATTAAATTTAGGAACAAATGATGAAATTAGCATTAATTCATTTTTCTGAATTTACAAAATTGGTAAATATTGGAATGATCAGAAATAAATATATTTTTAATTTTCTAACTGTTTTTATTCAGAAGTTATGACGAGTATTAACAATATTAAATATAAATACAGGGTGTTGCAACATGAATGTTAACATTTTAGATTACTGTAATTATTACCTGAAAGTTTGCAATATACACCAATATTGCAACACGCCATATTGTTGCAATTTTTCAATAAACATATCGGGCTACTGTTGAACACACTGTAAGGCACTTTGAACATGTGATTGATGCAAATGGATTGCACATTGAACAAATGTCATGAATAAAAAACCTTTTGCGCGTTTCCATTTTGTGTTTTTGTTCTTCAGGAGCCATTTTTTTCACCTAGTAGTAGAAATTTGAACTAATTATGTTTTTTTGCATTTTCCTTTTTCCCATAGTCCATGTAACGTAAATACCAAGTTTCATCAAAATACGTCAACAAGAACGGACTCTATACAGGTCTGAGTAGGGCAACTTTAATTACAATCATTCTGTATGAGTTTCACAGACAATTTCAAAGTGATCTACCATATAAGACAAATGTTTTTCAGAATAGAAAATGATTCCAAGTTTGTGAAGTGCATAACACAAAATGCATACTGTGTTGCAGAGTTGCCATTTTCATTTATGGCACTTCCTGGAGGCAGTAGGCAACAAGATGTTTGAATGCAGATGAGAGATGAAAATTGGATAGTTCCTTTATTGATTGGTGTATGTCACATACTTCTTGGATAATAATTAACATAATTACAGTAATTTAAAGTGGTAGCATTCATTTTGGAAGATGCTATATTTGTGAATTCAATAAAAATTGAAGTAAATATACTATTTTCTTTATAACATATCAATCTTTTTTCTTAACAGTCTTTCAGTAAGACAAATGTCTTAATAAACTGTCATAGAATGTTGAACTGAATTTCTCTGAAGAGTAAGATATAGATTTCAGAGAGCTAATTAGAGAATACATTCATAGACTATTCATTTTTTGTATCTAAAATTATTTTATATTTTCAATTTTCTCATCAGAGAACTTGAAATATAACAATAACAATTCATATAAAATAGTAAAATCATCTGCCTATAATTAACTTTTGTTTTATTAGGAAATAATAGATCAAAGTAAATAGGCAAGGATTTGAACTGTGATGTGTGATTCTGGAATATTACAGAATTTTAAGTGCTTTTTCCCTTTCTTTTATATCTATTATTTTGAATTGAAAATTAAAATTTAGGAATTCCATTAAATTAGGAACTCCACTTAAATTTTAATTTAATTCATATTAAATTTATATATTATGTTGTTTAACTTATATATTAAATTTTATATATAAAATATAAGCCATTGATCACATGTTCGTATATCTGTAACAGTATGTTACAGATATACGGGCATGAATGGCCACTAGGGGCACCCTAGCTATTATTTAAATTAACAATAAATTCAGTTTTTTGCATAACAATATTAAAATAACAAAAAATGCAAATTTTTGCATTTTTGACTGCAGTTTAGTAGGGTATGCCATGAGAATGCACATTAAGAAGGGATTTTTTAAAATTCCCCCACGATGAGGGAAATAAATTCTCCAAGGGGAAGGGAAGTCCCCCCACAGGAAGTTGGAAAAAATTAGAGATAATTTATAAGGACATGGTTCTCCTCCCCGTGGGGAGAGGAATTCCCCCAAGGAATAGGGAAAAAACTTCCTATTGATATGAATTTATTATTTATACCACGAAATAACACCACTGCTGCAAGAACACCCACTAGGGGATGGCCCGGGCTATTAGTATAGTATAAACTTTTCTCATAATTAATTTAATTTAATTTTTATAGGTTAAAGTTGGTGATAAAGAAGTGGATGTAATGCCAGGATTTCATCTGTACATGACAACAAAGTTACCAAATCCATCATTTACACCTGAGGTTTTTTTTATGATATGTCTTTAAACTTCTTATTTACTTATTATTTTATATAGTTTAAGTTTGTTTATTAACAGATAAATGCTCAAACTTCAGTTATTGATTTTACTGTCACAATGAAAGGTTTAGAAGATCAGTTGTTAGGACATGTTATCCTAACAGAAAAACAGGTTAGAATTCATTTCTAATAATTTTATATTTTTAATATTATTATATGAATTTCAAAGAATACTGAATTGGTGTTTATGCTTGTGTGTGTGTAAATAGTTAAGTATTCTAAGTAAATAATTACAAAAATGTGAATTTACAAAACAAAAGTTATGAGTAATGTTACAGAAAGAATTAAAAATTATTTATTTATATTATGTTTGAAGTATTTGTTTACATAAATAAAATGTTTTTCTTCTCAAGTGCAAATAAAGTGTGTGTCAGTGTGTGTACTGTACATGAACACATATTTGCACCTGAGCAGAAAGAAATTGCAATGAATCTTTTTTCTTGCTCATCTTGGATTCAGCTAATCCCACAAAGAGTCAGATAAGAGAAATAGATATTAACATATCTGGGACTAACAACTTGTAAAATTCAGAGGACACAACCTGAAACTCAAAGTATATCTTCTAGGGCAGCAGATCAAAGCCTTTTATTACTTTGGCCATCTGGTCATAAGTAAGATATGTTGTTATTTGAATTGATATTTAACATAAATGCTTTTATTAACTGTTTTAGGAACTTGAAAATGAAAGAACTACTCTATTGGAAAGTGTTGCAAGTAATAAGAGAAAAATGAAAGATCTAGAAGATACATTACTTCATAAATTAACAACATTAAAAGTATGAAAAATATTCATATTTAATTTTTTTAAAGTGTTTTAAATATAAATTTTGTTTTTATCCTTAGGGTTCTCTTATTGATGATGATAGCTTAATAGAAGTTTTGGCAATCACCAAGGAAACTGCAGCAAATGTATCTGCTAAGTTAACAATAGCAACAAATACAGAAAAGATGATAAACAAAGCAAGAGAAGAATTTAGACCAGGTATTTTGATATTTTCACATTACTTTTATATGAACTATATTCCAAAATTTACGTATACAGTCGATTCCACTTAATTGGGACACATTGGGACTAATTTATTTTGGTCCAATTAAGCGGCTGCCCCAATTAAACGAACTAATAATAAATTCTATAATAAAATATGTAATATGTAGGTAAATAAGTAAGTAGGTAAAAATTAATAATTAGGTACCTATTTTAATGCTTTATTAAACCAAAATACAGAAAATATTTGTATTATAAATTTGCCAGACTCACGACGATAGTTAACTGATTCACATAATGCTAATGTTGCCAAATATTAGTAGTGGCGTACACAAGGGTTGACTATTCAATTTGTTTCTGATTGAACAATTTTTCCTTTCTTTCTTTTTAGTTAGTAAAAAGGGAGAAAGAAAAGGATTCATCTAAAAGTCATTTTACAGTCTTCTTTTGAGCACAGTTTCCTTTACTTGGAGATGGGCCACTTTGGCAGGAGTGTCCATAGAATCTGCCAACTCAAAGCTGGTCTCAACAATCGGATGGCTGCTGTCTGAATCTAGATGTAATTATGCACACAATACCTTCCAAGGGAACTCTAGCTGCCTTCCATCTCAGTTGAGAGAGCTCAAAAAAATTGTCTGGCAATATTTGTCCCTTTGCTTTTAAGGGGATCGTCTGATCCAATCCAGAGCAGGGTCAGTAACTTGCATTCAGGTCCGCTTCAGAAGAAATCCCCATGTGATATATCTCACTATGCTGATTCCCTCTGGAAAAACTGAATGGCTCGAGCAAAAGACAAAATCACCTTGTCTCTGCCAATCATTAGGCCTATACAACATTAGTGTACATAGTGCCTAATATTTTCAGAAGATTACTAAAATATATTAAAAATTGCTAAATTCTATTTCTGCTATTGTCACAATTAAACAAAAAGTTGTCCCAATTAAGTGATTAAATTATGTATTAATTTATTAGTTTGGTTTCCATTCTTTGAGATTTGGCCCAATAAAGTGGCTGCCCTGATTAACCAGTGGCCAATTAAACAGAATTGGTATTACTTTTTATTCTCATAATATTTAATGCAGTTGCAATGTTTTTAATTCAAAAAGGTTATTAACTGAAATATATTGAAAATAAGATTTAATTAAAATATTACATTTAAATTTTGAAAAACTGTATTTTTATCTAACAATTATTGTTTTGGAATTAACACTTTGATTTTAATTGGATCAGTTTGTTTTTGTCTAAACTTCTAAGGCAAACTAACAAGTGGCATTTTCTGATACTCTAATCAAGTTGTTTAGAATATTTATTGGATATGCATATAGTTACATATATTTTTCACCTGAATCAATATTGAAAATGTATGTACAAATATATTTTTAAGATTTACTATGAAAATAAGTAAACATACACATCTGATTATAATTTTTAGGTGGAGCATTATCAAAGCCTCTTCTGTGTGGCTTGCAGAATTGTATTCATTCTCAAAATCTGTTTGATCGATTTTAATTAAACTTTAACATTTTTCATTAATTGAAATGAGGAATCCAAGAAAAAAAAAATAGGGGTCTGTGACTTCATTTTCGAGATGTAAGGTCATAGCATGAATATGTATAACAAAGCAATATTGCATTAATCACACAACAAAGTCATGTGATGTTTCATGGTTGCTAGCATGCCTTCTATGAACTTGTGAGTGTATAAAACATGAGAACGAATCAACACGTTGAACTGAAGTGATTTCTACGAAGGGAGAATTTAGAATAAGTGTGCTTGATGAAGCAGACGCTTGGCAGGGGAAATCCACTGAACTCAATAGGGACTAGACAAAGACAACTATCCCAGTTTACAAAATAATCCTTTAATTTTGTCTGGGAGCATACAGTACTTCTAAAAATTTAAGACACAGGAACTTATGGAGCCTGACAATCTAGTATACTGAATATCGTTAACATCAAATCTCCCCACAATATACTGTTTTAAACTCCCGAAACGTGAAGACATAAAACATATCGACAAAATGGGTTTGAGGTAAATCTCTTCCTTTCCTTCACTCTAGGCAGAAAACAGTTCAAAAAATTCCGTCAATCTCCACACTGACTTGGTTGCGCAGTCTTTACTTTCCCACGTAATTTCACCACACCACTGCTTTGCTTCTTCCCCATTTTCTTTTTACTTCCGTTCTGACTTCTCCTCGAGACACACCCTCCAATAAAACACTCACCCTCGGTTACACACCCCGGGATTACACAACTCCTCTCCACTGAGTCGGACCTACCATGTGGCGAAGGGGGGACAAGAAAAGACGTAAGGCACAAACTTATAGAATGGACTTTACTATTTTCCATTAATTGTGATGAGGAATCCAAAAATGCAATGAGAGTTCATTTAAATGTAAAAAATAGAAGTCCATGACTTTGTTTTCAATATACAGATGTATTAAAGTAACAATATTCATGCTCTCTGATGCAACTGAGCACATCTAATGCAATTTAGGCTAGAAATCAAAAATAAAAACAGCATTGCATGTGCTTAATGGAAAATAGATACAAAAACAAAAAAAAAAACACACACACAAGAACAAAGTAATAGATAGTGATTGTTTTGTTCTTAGATTGCTTCTCCATGTCAGCAAGTGCAAGGATTGTGTCCCCCATGGCTGACAGGTACAAGAATTGCCCCTCCCATGACCAACAGGTACGAGGATATGAGGATAGCCTTGTTTGTGGCTGCAAGTGCAAAATTTGCCTACCTGTGTCTGTCAGGTAAAAGGATTGCCTTTTCTAGGCGTAGCAGGTGCAGGGATAGCTTCTTTCTTTCCAGCTCCACCTTGCAATACGATAGTCATGTTATGTCTTAGTATTATACTATGGAATAAATAGAAAAATTAAAATCATTTTGCATAGAATCACTTATTTTTGAGTGTTTTATAATGTTATTTTGTAAACTTTTTACATACAATCATTGTTTTACAATGGACCTGAAATCTAATTTTTGTTGTTACTTGTGTTGCTGTTTATTGTGGAATTTTATCTTTGATATCATTATCATTGGCTTTTCAAAACAGCTGTTGGAAGTCAATTGAACTTATTCACCTGTAATCTTACTTCTGATAACATGTAACTATTACCATCTGCATTATATATTGATATATCAATATATCAATATTGATATATTGATATTATTTCTTTCATTGAATTGAAAGATGAAGTAAGTTATACTCAGAATATCCAAGAATTCAGTTATCTGCCATTACACAAGTAATTATTCTGTTATTACAAGGTGAAATATTCAGATGATATACTGTAGTTCTTTAATTATAAGAACACTTTTTACCCTGATTAATTGTATAAAATAGAGTCAAGTCATCTTACATTCAACAGAATCAATGGCATCTTACATTCTCCTAAAACATTCAGCCTAAAACAAAAATCAACAGCTGTTGCAAATAAATCATATGGCACATTAGACACCAATAGTAATATTTTTAGACATGACATCTGCATACAATTTTCCAGGAAGGGGAGCAAAGCTTGGAGACAATTATATCAATAAAGTTTTATTTAATTTTTTTGGTTTTTTTTTACAAGTATTATATATACTGTACAGTACATTATAGAATACAGTTATGCATCAAAGCATCCCATTGTTAAGAGTGTAAGATATATATCTCAATTGCTTTTATGATTATAATTTGTGAATGTTTTATTTGATTCCAGGGGAGGCAAGTGCTCCATTTCCCCCATTTTAATCAACTTTACTAAACTCTGTTGAGTATTTTAGCATTTTTTCTTCCATAAAATTTTTTTAAAATTTGATTTAAAGTTATGGTGTATCTTATAATCAAAAATTATAGTATGTAATATAGTTCCTTTGCCTGCTTCTTGCCTGTGTTGACGAGCTTTTTTGCTGGGGTCTACTTTTCTGTTTCTTGGGCTTTATTGAGTGTTTTTTCCTGTTGTTCATTGTCATTTTAGTTAGTATTTGTGTTACTACTGAGATTTTGAGTCAGTTTTTCATTCTCAATAGGCTAGATTTTTCATTTTTACGTGTTTCTCATTTGTTAGACTTAGTGGTTAGGCTTAGCTAGCTCAGTTTCTGTTTTGGCTTTGCCAGACAGAAACAGTTAGTTTCTTTGATTTAATCGATTTAAATTTACTCCTTTTCAACTTCCACTCAATCATTTTCTTGTTTTTGGCTGGCTTTTGCAAATTTTCAGTTTTTAGGGTGTTTTTCAGTTAGTTAGTCTTGTCTTAGTTAGTCTTGTCTTAGTTTAGGTCTAAGTTAGATAGTTTTCTTTTCGTAGTTAGTTAAGTCTTCAGGTGTTTAGCTTCTCCTGTAATTTTGGGTTTTCTCAGTCAACTAGTTTCCAGATTTTTCTGGTTTTATTTCCAGTCTTTTTGATTGTAAGTTTATAGTTAGGCCTTACAAGGCCAGTTTCAACTGCCTAGCCATTTTCATAGCTTCTTCAGTGTTAGTATTTTGGCATTTTTGTGGTTTCTTGTTTTTGTAGTTAGTTTTCCCTTTGTAATTTGTTCCCTTACTAGGTGCTTTGTTCCTCCTGTTAGTTTCATCTTTCTAGGCAATCACATTTTCGAGTTTTTCAGGGTGTGGCGACAGCTTTGGCGATAAACCCCAAAGTCGCCACAAGGGGGAACCCCTGACCTGATCTATGACATCACACACATTCTTGTTGGATTTGGACCTCTCCAGACGTGTGTAGTAACACCTCGTGTTTTAACCTGTACAGTCGCGCCATAATTCATATATAGAATAAATGTTAATATTTTATTGTGTGGCCTGGTTTGCAATGATTAATTTCACACAAACTGGTGACCACAAACTGGTGAGCCGAACGTGATATATGTTCTATGGTGCCTCTACCCGACGAAGGACTCTATCGTGCGACATGAAAATTCCATCCATTCGCATCGGATACAACGTTGGACTTTCATCCTTTTTTGGAACTGCCAACTCATACAACTAGACCTTCGAAA